TTTAGGGTGTTTGTTATTGCGGCATAACTAGTCTGAGCTGACTGCTTCAGGGTTTTGCAAAGAAACTCTGAACAAGGGACCAGAGGCAATCCAAGCACACAGACTCATAGAGGTGGTCCAGGGGAGTCTTTCTCCCTCAGAGCAAGCAGAGCGGGGCCACAGATGACACTGACCACCCACTTTTGGGGGATCCCCTTGTCTCCTTCCTTGGCCTCAGCTTTGGGTGGGGAATCCCAACAAAAGGCCCCGGTTCTAGGCCCTGGGCCTTTCCCTGCCCACTTCCTCCTCAGGCTGCCCCTCACTGCAGCCACCACAGCCGCAGGAGGACTCGGAGGCTAATGTCTCCCTTCTCCCAAGAGGGACCACAAAGTAGTCCCCGAGTACACGCTGGGACTTACCCAGAGCCCTGGAACCACGTGTGTAGTAGGCTCATTCCACTCCTCCTTTTGGCTTAATCCTGCAGGAGGATTAACAACAACAACAACACTAACAAACACTAACTTTTATTGTTCCCCGTACTATCCTAAGCACTTTATTATCTTTTTTTTTTAAAGATCTAATTGGCTTTATTGAGCGATTCATGAATCAGGAAGCATCCCATCTACCAAGTGGAGAGAGGCTCCCTGTCCTAAGCACTTTATTTATTTATTTAAAAAATATATTTTTATTGATTTCAGAGAGGAAGGGAGAGGGAGAGAGATAGAAACATCAATGATGAGAGAGAATCATTGATTCTCCAGGCATGTGCCCCTGACCGGAATCGAACCTGGGATCTTTCAGTCTTCAGGCCGACGCTCTATCCACTGAGCCAAACTGGCTGGGGCCCTAGGCACTTCAGACACACTAACTCCTTCCTGCACCCGCCGGGGGAGGCACCGCTATCACTCCCATGGCAGGAGCCTGGTGCCCAAAGTCACACAGGTGGTAAAAGCAGCCCTGGGGTTCCAACACAGGCTGTGCCCCAGCACGATGCTGGGGAGGAAACCACCGAACAGGAAGACAAGGAAAAAGGTAGGCTCGGCGAAGCAACATGGCAAAGATACCCATTACCTGCTGCTCTCCTGCTATTGTCTGGGTTTGGGGCAGGGGAGACCTCAGGGATCAGACGTATGGGGAGCAGTGAAGTAACATAAAGGAAGAGCAAAACAAAACACGTACAAACCTACAGACAACATCTGTGCAGTTACAGTGAATGGACACGAATCAAGATTAGAAGAGTTATGTTACATAAAGGATTTTTGGTTTGGGTGTTGATAGTCTATTCAGCAAAGCTGGGTGCTGAACTTTTTAAAAGTTTAAAAACGGAAAATGAGCCTGGCTGGCCATGGCTCAGTGGTTGAGCATCGACCTATGCATCAGGAGGTCACGGTTCGATTCCCGGTCAGGACACATGCTCAGGGTTGAGGGCTCGGTCCCCAGTGCGGGGGAGTGCAGGAGGCAGTCGATCAATGATTCTCTCTCATCATTGATGTTTCTATCTCTTCTCCCTCTCCCTTCCTCTCTGAAATCAATAACAATATATTTTTTAAAAAATGGAAACTGAGATTCTACCACATGGCTCTGGGAGGAAGTTGCAAACCCAGAGAAGTAAGCTGCCTCCATCCCTAAGTGCCCTGGTTTGTCCTCTGGTCTCCTAATCAGAAATGAGACATGCCACCAGACACGGTGTCCTGGTCCCATTGGGCAGGCTTGTGCATGCTTTCTGATAAAGCTCCAAGAGGCTGGGGCAGCTAGGGGGTGGATTGGGTTGGAGGCACCTAGAAGGGATTGCCCTGGAGGCTGGGGCAGAGAGATGGGAAAGAAGCAGCGGGTCAAAGGAAAAGAGCAGAACTTCCAGACTCTCCATCGGTCCAGCCCGATTCCCTCTTCCTCTGAGAAGCCTTCCCGATCAGCCTGACCTTGAACCAAGCTCCCCCCTTGTACTTCTAGAGCACATGTTGGTGTGTAACAGGCTCAGCACATCACTACTCGCCACTTCCAGCTACTTTCCTGATGTCGGTGTTAAAATTTAAAGTGCATTTGGCCCTTGGGTTTCTAAAGGATTGTAGTAGCTAACTAGTGTCTAGGTCAGTTCCCAAAGCCCGGTTACTCTCATCAAGAGGGAGGACTACACAAGTCCACAAGCAGATAGGCTCATGTCTGTCCCTCTCCCATGACCTCAAGAGAGCACCCAGGGTGTCTGCAGCCCCAGAGGCACCTGCTGAGACCGTCAGAGAAAGGGTTCTTGGAGAGCAGTAGGTGCCCCAAACAACTTCACCCCTCCTGCAGTCGGTAGAGGGTGCTAAATATTTGCTCTGGGGAGGCTATGACGTTGTTTCTTTCCTCTTTGAGATTCCTACACTTTCTTTCCTGCTGGACACTGCAGGATGGGAGGTCAGTGAGGTTTGCTATATAAATTAACAACCTTACACACTCTGTAACCTTAGACTCTAGCAGTTCACCAAAATCCAGGCCCTCTGCTTCTGCCTGGACACACGTCTGGACCACATTTCCCAGTCTCCCTTACAGTTAGGTACGGTCACATGACTGGTTCTAGCCAATGGAATGCAAGCACAGGTAACACTTCCAGGACTTGGTAAATCCGCCCACAAGCCTCCTCCAGGCGGTTTCCCCTTCCAGCCTATTGGGTGGAGTCAACCATGGGAAACTGGAAGCTGTGCTGAAGGTGGCAGGGCCTCCACCAGCCAGGATCCCTGAGCCTTACCCGCGGACCAGGAATCGTGCACATGAGCGGGAAACTAGCCTCTTCTATGCTTAAGCCATTACGCCTTTTTATCATTATCCCAGCAGCTGGCTGATCTTCCCACCTCCACGTTCTGGGTAGCCTGGCTCCATCTGACTGACAGCCACCTAATATGGTTTCCTTGTCTCCTCCCTCCACCCCAACCTAAGCTCTGAGAGGCAGGGACTGGGTTTTGTTTCCTGCTGTGTCCCCAGTGGTAGGACAGGGCCTGACACAGAGTAGATGCTTAATAACAATCTGTTGAGCACACGAACGAGTGAGTTCTGTTTTACCCATTCTTCGTGAGTCCCGGTCTCCATAGAAAGGACCCCAAGAGCGGGAACCAGCCTCTTCCTTCACTTTCTCCTCCAACTCCCGAGCTAGAAAATTAGCCTTTATCTCTTACTCTCACCCTCAGGACCCAGCCTGGGCCCCCTCCTGCTGGCACCCTCCCAAATCCTTCCCACCACGGTCTGTGAGGAACCGGCTGAAGAAATAAACCCAGTCACTGTAGACCAGCTGCTAAATTACCAGAATCGAGCAGGCTGAGGTATGAGGAAGCGATTCTATTCTTGTTCTAACGAGCCTGGAACGTAAATGTTTTGAACTTTCCTGTCCTGCATCGAAGTCTGGCTATACATCGGCACACATACCAGACCTCCAGATAACCTTCCGATGATCTCCCCAAGGGCTCGCACCGCCAGACCACATGACATTATCCTGATCACTGGACATGACCAGACCTCCTGGCACCCATCCTCCAGGTCACCTGACAGCCGGTAATGGCCCTGGAGCGGTCCTAGGGCTAAGAATGCAGGGCCGATAATGTTCAAGAATGTGCTTTATATTGTAAGAATTCTCAACGTTTCTTTCTTCTTTGGAACATTTCTGGGTTTTTGCCTGGCCTGTTGACGGAATCTCTATCATTTATTTCTAGCCAAATCCTCCAGACTCTTTGAATTCATTCGATATCTGTGGCCTCTGTGCCCCTCAGCCCGGAGTCCCCTTGCAGTCACACCTGTCACACTGCACAGCAGGTGTGGGTATCTGTCTTTATCACCCACCACGCCCCACCCTCTATTAGATGGGGAGAGCCTGGAAGCCAGGGCTCTCTTATTCATCTTGGCATAGTCCCAGTGTCGGGCATAAGTGCCTCTTAGGAAACAAGCATTCCACAATATTTAATAAATATTTTAAAATATTTAGATAATAGTTATATAAACATAAATTACTTAAGTATATACTATTTAAGTATATTATATACCTATAATACTTATATAATACTACTTAATACATATTTTATTTATTATTATTATTTATTTTTGGTTAATCTTCACCCAAGGATATTTTCCCATTAATTTTTAGAGAGAGTGGAGGGGGAGGGAGAGACAGAAAGAGAGAAACATCAATGTGAGAGAGACACATTGACTGGTTGCATCCTGCACGCGCCCTGATTGGGGCCAGGGATTGAGCTGGCAACCGAGGTACGTGCCTTTGACCGGAATCGAACCTGTGACCCTTCAGCCGGCAGGCCGATGCTTTATCCACTGAGCCAAACCGGCTAGGGCTATTTTCTTTTCTTTAACTGTTGTCACTATTGCTAACTAAGAGTAAAAAGCTGCCCACACACCCTGGATCCAGTTATAAGAGGATCTAAGCTGGTACTTGGCATATTCTTCAGATTCTTCTAACAGGCTTTTGGGCCCTTAATACAGGGTGTGGCCCATGAGAGGAGGGGGAAGCCCAAACGCTCTCATTGTGTCTCGGAACAAACCCACCCTGGATTGGGGGTCCCAAAACCTTTTCCCATTGAGGTGCAAGCCCGCCCCTGGCAGCCCTGCGCACACAGGAGTTTTGTGTTTCGAAGCGCCTGCCCACTTGACCCTCATGAAGGCCCTGCGGCACAGGCAGGAGGCGAATACCGTGCCCATTTGACAGACGAGAAAACAGAGGCCCAGAGAGGTTCAGTGACTTGTCCGAGATCATGAGTGTGTGCTGGGCTGTCACTAGGCCCCAGGGCCCCAGACGTCCCTGCTCCATGTCTTGCCTCTCTCCGGCCTGAGCTGACAGGAGGAAACTCCACAGCAGCCTCCAGGAAGCCAGCCAGCAAGCAGCCACACAGTGAGCGGAAACTGACACTGACCTGCCAATCCCGTCAGCGCTGAGAGCTTCCCCCGATTCTAACTCTACACCCCTCCGGCCTGCGGGGGGGTTCTGTGGTTAGGGTTGCAGCATCTGCTGCTGTGGTCGGAGGCCAGAGCGGAAGGACGGTACTCACTCGATTTTTCTTCTTTGACGGTGTACTCGAGCACCTCGGACGAGCCCGCGTTCAGGGAAGGGAAGTGGACACAGAGCACCAGGCGCTTCGAGCAGCTGTCCCTGCGCACCAGGAATGTCTGCAACAGAGAAGGGGGCTGCGTGAATCCAACGTGTGGGGGGAGGTTCGAAGGACAACAGAGAGATGGAAGTCATCTGGAATGTTCCAGAAACAAGGAGGCAGGCTGGACAGTCAAGCATCTCTCAGGAGAATGGGGGATTCTGGCCAACGAGCCACGTGTTACCCAGCCCATGACCCCTGGCTCCTGCGTCTCAATTTCTCATTTGCCCACAGAGCGGGGTTCAACTAAATCGACGTTTCCCAAAGAATTCTGTGCTGTAGACAGAGTTAGGCAAGGGGTGTGTAACCTGCAGCGTCCCATGTCCCACCTCAGAAAGGCTGGTTCGGTTGGGGGTGTGTGTGTCCGGAATCGGCTGAGTCTGACCCGGGTGGTGGTCCAGTGTCCACACTTAGAAAAGTTCTAACGTTCGGGAGTCAGGTTGGATTTTAACTGGTTCCCACAAGTCACACCCTGGGGAGGCCGATGGAAGGGATCACAGATATGGGTCAATTCACACTACTTTCCCCAGAGAAATAAAAATAGCTAATAATTACCATAGAGCTGTCTCTGCGACAGGAACTGTTATCAATACTTTGCATGCATTCACTGGCTCCTTCCTATCAATAGCCCTCTGACGTGAGCTGTGTTGTTCTCCCCATTTTACAGATGAAGAAACAGAGGCACTCGCGGGTCCTGACGGGACCCCTCTCCTCTGGCTGCTGTGATGACTGAGCAAATGCCCGTCTGGGCCTGGCGCACCGGGTGGGCCCTGTCCTCTCTCCTCCTGGGGGTTTGCTGGGGTCGAATGAGACGCTGCCTCTCAGCCTGGGGGATGTGTCTCTCTCTAGTAACCAAGCGTCACCAGAATCTAAACCAGAGCTGGCATTTACAGCGCCCCTATCCCCACCCCCACTTCTGCTTCTCCGGAGCTTCTGCTCAATGAAGGGGCTGCACTTCCCACAGCCATCCTGGGGAGGGGTCCCTGCTTCATTCACAAACTCTGTGGTTTCAAATGTCCTTTTTAGCCTCTGCTGGCCCCATCCGAGCTCAGCCCTCCTTCCAGGCGATGATTGACACCTTCTAGAATATCCCCAGCCTCCAGGGGCACAGCCTCCCCCGAGGAGGGGGGCTGGGTGTCCTCGGCCAAGGAAGGTCATTCCTTCCTTCCCTGAGAAAGGACTTGGTCACTGAGCCCCCCATCCCTCCCTCCACATCCCACCCAGGTCTAAGCTTCCCTCTGTCAGGCTCCACGCACCCGGGCTAGAGCTGGGAAGACCAGGAGTCCCGCCAAAGTTGTAGAGTGAAGGATGGGTGGGGGGCGCTGGGGAGGGGGCTGGGACAGCTCTGAGACGTGGCCCACACATGAGGGGCTCTGGAGGACCATCGAGATGGCCCTTCCCCCCTTTTCCCACCGAGGCCCACTGTCCTACCAGCCCCTGGTGATGCTCCAAATTCTCTGCTGCGCTGGGGAGGGGGCTGGGACAGCTCTGAGACGTGGCCCACACATGAGGGGCTCTGGAGGACCACCGAGATGGCCCTTCCCCCCCTTTCCTCACCGAGGCCCACTGTCCTACCAGCCCCCAGTGATGCTCCAAATTCTCTGCCATGGTTACTGTTACTATTATTATGATCATATTTCTTTGTTATTCATACAATGTTGCTATAATTGTTAAGGAAGCATTATAATAATACTAGAGGCCCGGTGCACAAAATTCATACAAGAGTAGGCCTTCCTTCCCCTGCTGCCGGCACCAGCTTCCCTCTGGCACCTGGGACCCGGGATTCCCTCGCAGCCCCGGCTTCCTCCAGAAGGACATCCGGTCTAATTAGCATGTTATGCTTTTATTATTATAGATCGTTACTATTGATAGTAACAGCTAACTCATATTGCCTCCGCCCCAAGCCCTAAGTCCAGTTCCTTAGATTCCATGGTCTCAGTTAATTCTCTTACTAACGCCATGGGGGTGGTTGCTATTATTATCCCCATTGTACAGGGAAGGAAACCCGGAGAATTAATCATGCCCAAGGCCACAGGTGAGTAAGTGCTGGCCCTGGATCTGAGCTCAGGCCTTAGCTTCTGGATCCCGAGCACCGCACTACCCTCCGCCCAGCCCAGAGGGTGCCCTTGCCTGAAGCTTGTGCTCTCCCTGCGGGTGCCCGTCCCCTGGGGAGCAGTGACACCAAGAACCCCTTAGTCATTGAACGGGGGTCGCAATGCGTTTACCAGCCCCTCTCCTGGAGCATGCAGAGGGCGTGAGAACTCGGAGCGGACAGAGGAGGATGGGAGGGAGGCTTCCGGGGACAGAAATGAGGAGCAGGCGGGATGCTGCCTGCAAAGGGGCCCACCCTGGAGGGAGCCCTCCCCAGGGGACCCAGCAGGCAGGCGGCTCACTTCCAGATGCCAGGATGATGCTGGGCTCCCAGCACACCTGGCCTTGCTCTGAGCTGACCCCAGCAGCACGCGGTCTTTCAGAGAAAAGAGGTCACTCTGCCTCTTTCTCAGAGGACCAAGTGGGAACTAGCAAGGGAACGGGAGAGGGTGTGTGTGTGAGAACGAGCGAGCGTGGGGGTGATTTACGAAAATACATCTGGCCTTTGTCCCCCTCTCCTGGCAAAGCTTCAGAAACCCCTGGAATTTCCTGAGTGATAGGACAGGAGTGTCTTCTGTTGTTCACAAATAGCCCATCTTTACCGCACCTGAGTTTAAGCTAACAGGTGACTCCTGATGGGCCCTGAGTTTCAAAGGGGGTTGGAACTGCAGGCCCCCCTCTCTCCCCAATAGACCTCTGGACCCTGAAGCTCAGAGGAGCCCCTGGTTGGTGACACATTGGTGTGCAGGGAGGGTGATGGGCCCAGATCCACCAGGAGAGGCCTGGGGGCTTGCATGAGGGCTTGTCAGCGACCAGCCAGGGGAGCAGCCTGCTACGAGTTCTGGGAAATTCCGTGGCTTCCCTGAGCCTCAGTGTTCTGGTCTGCAAATGGGGTTACTAACACCGAAGACCACCCACAGAAGCAAGGAAGGAAGTCAAAGCCCTCAGGGTTGGAAGAAGTAACTGAGATACTGCACAGGAACATACCCCACGGGACAAGGGGGTCTCCACAGATGCCTCCACCCCCCACCCCGCTGCTGGGCTTTGTCCTTCAGGCTCCCAGTCCCAGAATCCATCTAGAACCACACGCGTTTATTGTGCAAAGAAGAGCAAAGAAGAAGGAGGGGTTTCCTGGAGAGAGAGAGTGGTCCAGTCGATGATATGGAGCCACAAGTTAAAAGAGCGGCTAAGGCAGGGGTGGGCAAACTTTTTGACTCGAGGGCCACAATGGGTTCTTAAACTGGGCCGGAGGGCCGGAACAAAAGCATGGATGGAGTGTTTGTGTGAACTAATATAAATTCAAAGTAAACATCATTACATAAAAGGGTACGGTCTTTTTTTTTTT